GTGTGGTGCTGTATCAGCTGCAAATAAGCTATGGACCTAAGCCAAAGGCTATTGAAATGCGTAAGAGGCTTTGGACGTTACATCACGCCTAAGTTAACTTTTGACTAAACTAAGGATTGGATATTTGGCTCTGAAATCAGAAGTGTGCTTAAGCATGTGAGTGGTCCCACTGAAAATCAGTAGGGCTACCTGCGGACTTGACATTACGTACACAGTTGAATAACATTGCCCCCCGATCTGTTTTGCCATCGGTGGCTCCCAAATCAGACTTGTTGCTGAAAGTTTCCCAATGCTGCCACCTACAGAAAAGGTTAACTGCAGCTTTCAACATAGCAGAGAAGACTCTCATTAAGAAAATGATAGATTGTGCACAGTCAACCCCGGATATGGTTCTAAATTAGCAGTGTGCAGGTCTAAGCAGATAAGCCTGAAATCCTACCTGAGATTCTTAAATATTTCTCAAATACTTCCAAGGATAGTTCTATATATTAACTGTTAAAAGTCCACCTCTGGGAGGCTGCAAAAAAATGGCACGAACCTGTTAATTCAAATTCAGCAATTTGCTCAACAGACTCCTCACATATCTGGAAGAGCAGCAGCAGCAACAGCCAGTCACAGGTTTCTTTCAGAGCGGGCATAAACCACAAAACAGCCTTCACAACCTCCTGCCCTTCTCAGTAACTGTCACAGTGAAAATTCAGGGCTAAATTCAGGAAAAACACATAGGCTCCTTCATCTGGAGCAACTCTATCCCAGCTCCTGAGATCTTTGCCATCCCCAGCAACTCATCTTCCTCTTTCTACCCAGGCTGTTTTAGAAGAAAGCCCAGCTGTTTGCCTGGCCCCTGCAGTATTTTAGTAAGGGAAAACAGCCTTGATAGTGATGTTATACACAAGTGGATGGGTAACATTCATTCCTCAGTTGTTCTCTTTATTTCCATCCTCTGAAGCTATACCTGGGACCAGAAGGTGAGAAAATAAGGAAAGGTCTGTCAGAACCCTTTCCCTGTTTTTCCATTGGGCCAAAATTATTCAAATGTTGCCTTTCAGTAGATTCTTAACCCAGAAGCCTGAGCAAAAGAGTGAGAAAAACGTTTGTGAAACACTGAAGTTACTTCAGTATCACTAGAGATTTATATTGCTAGATTAAAAAACCACAAAACCAGAAATCTTTTGACTGCTGCAATTGCTATAAAAAATACAGTAGTATCTTGGCAGCACTTTCAGGTTGCTTCAGCATTGACTGCCAGCCTGCGTAACAGGCAGTTACAGCAGGTACCCTCAGCAACAGCCTTAAAGGCATGACAAGGGTCCCCTGCAGGATTAAAGCACGCTCCCCCAGGCATGGCATACAGCTGACGGGGCTCTGCTTCCTCTCCTGCCCCCTCCTCCTACTGTATGTGGTTTTTATTGCTCCTTCCATCCTCCTGTGCTCATGCCACATGTATTTCCTCTCCTGTAGGCTTTGTTGCTAAGCAGCCTGTGCCGCAGGCATGGCTCCGAGCCTGCGCTGGAGCAGGAGGCTGCAGCAGAGGTGCCCCAGGAGGCCTCCCTCCACCCTGCGACAACAGGCAGAATAAGATGCTGATGTAGAGAACAGCGAGTGACAGGTAACAGACCTTTTCTCAGCAGGTAGCTTTCACGTCCCTGCTAACAGAAACTGAAGGAGACTGATGGTCAGGACCCAAGTACTCTGAGCATTTAATCCTCAGAATTTGAATTCAAATGTGTTGCAACCCCCTGGTAGCTTTGGCTATCAGGTAATGCTACAAGCAGTAGCAAGGCCCCATACTGAACACCTTCAGACCACACATGGCTTTAATCAAAGCTTGTATTTTGAATTACCCTTCAAAAAAGCCTGGCAGCCAGGAACAGCTTACAGCATACACACAGCACCACTGATGACCTAAGAATATGTTACCTAGCACCATACAACATGGCTGGCAGGCACAGGCTGGGACACGATATGTTAGAAGAAGGGCCTGAGTTGAAAGGTGTTTTATCCCTTCTTACAGTTACCTGAGGTATCAGCCAGGAGCTGCAGCTACATAGCAGCTAAACTCAGTCAAGAATAGTTTCCACAGAGGCCAAGGAATATGCACTATGAAGTATCTTTCTTCCCCTCGAACCTGAAATTTTGTCACGCTATTAAACTCATGTAATGTGGGTTTCTCCTTTTAGGTCATTTTAGAAGGGAGAGGTAGCACAGCCTCTTTCAAGGCCTTCCTAACACAACCACAAGTTAATAAGCACACACTGGCTAGCCCAGGATTGCATTCAGCATTAGCCAGCAGATTTCTTTTAGCCACAGGTAGGGGAAAAACCTGTTCTAATACTGCATCCTGTAAGGAAACACACCAACCCTTCAGTGGGTAGCCTGTTGCTTGTAGCATTGATACAAATAGCCTCTGTTTAAGAGCAGCTTCATATTGACATTTGAGTGTTTATCACACCTTACCCCTTTAACTAAAATAAATGTATTTGGGGTGGCAAATTGCAGCTTAAGGGTTTCAAGACTGGACATCAGGAAGAGCTTTACCAGAAGGGTAGCGCAGCACTGGAACATGGTATGCAGACACTGGTGCATCTCCATCCTTGGAGGCCTTCCGGACACCAGAAAGAACAATTGTCCTGCTAACCCGAGGCTGACATGAGGTTTTTGCCCAAGAGGAGAGCTTTGAGGGTCCTTTAAAAACAAGGTTTACAGAGGATGCCACACAACTCCTTCTGGTGAAAGTTACAATGATCACTTTAAGTCCATTTAGTCTTCCAGCAGAACATTTTATTCTCATAAGGACAAGGAAATATCAACCAACAGCTCAATTAACATGACACAGATTAAACAAGCCCTGTTAAGCATTTTCTACTTAACATGTGAAAAAAGAGTCTAAAGACATCCTATGTGTCCAAACTGTTCACATTAAAACTTGAGCTCATCCTTTAGCATAAGCTCAGCTGATGTTGCTCCTGTGTATAGCAAAAGGTGGAAACAATTTTTAAATTACCAGAACAGCTGTGTTTAACAAGTACTGAAGCACTGGAGTTTAGACTGCATTTACTGGTGTGCTATTAGACTGCTTTCCTTGCATCTCTTCAGAGTCTCAGGCAGACTTGCAGAAAGCCACAGCAGAAAAACGAACTTCTCCTTTTTCACGTTCTGTAAATTGTCTGCAGATCTTAGCAGAATCCTTGGAAGAAAAAAAAAGCCATTTAGACTATCAGGAGACACTTACTGTAGAGACCAAATCTTTGCAGATCCTCTCTGGGTCTCACCAGCTAAGTTACAAGGTCTGATACCTGTTAAGCGTATTTTTTAGCTGGTGGTATCTAGGTCTGCAGCACAATTATTACCTTGTTACCATGGCATAAGAAGCACCAACTTGTGCAGCAAGTAGACACAGCAACCATGCACTGAATGCATGCCTCAGCCTTTTACAAGCCTTGTTTTCAAGGAAAAAAGCAGGTAGGGAGAAGTCTTACCTTCAATAGCAAGTCATCTGAGCTTGTGCCATGGTTTACAGGGAATGGCATACGCCCATCTGTGAAAAAAGTCCAATCACTCAGTGTACTTATTACTTCTGAATTAGCAGAACTAAGCATAGTGGGCCCAAGAAACAAGTACACACATGAAGATATGTGGGATGTCAGCATAAATTGTCAATACACAGCTTGGGTGAGAAGGGGACTTGGTTATTTCCAGCTCTACAGGAGATTACACGCTTTACAAAGGAGCCTAGGCCTTCAGTGCAACCCATCTTCAGTTAAAATCTTCACTTGAAGATTCAAGTTACATATTGGCTTTGAGAGCCTCAGTGAACAGCTTAACTAGCTCCAAGTATCTAGCCTGACCCCCCAGTGCTGCTGTGCAGTGTAAAGTAGGCCCAGTCCAACTCCAGTTCTCAGGACCTTACCCAATTCATACAGATGTCCATCCACATTGACAAACAGGATGAAGTGGAAGTTCACACTGTTGTCCTCAACCTTAGGAGAGACCATTAGATACATTTGTTAGACTGAAAAAAAAAAAAAGCCTAGTACCATGAACCCTAATTGCAACAACTGGACAGAGATGTCAACAGTAAAGCAACAGCAAAAGACAGAAAACTTAAGTTCAGCTGAAGATCTACAAGGTCAAGTGCCAAAAATCCCAGTGTACAGTCAAATTTTCAGATTGGGGCAGAACCCAAATTTTCAGTCCATGTTTGAGGAAGAAACTCTATGCAAGCATTTACCCACAAGTCATTAACAGCTATCTGCCAGACAAAAAAAAATTGTATTGCTCTACCACCTTCATTAACCCCTTCTCCCAAGATTTTACACCTTCATATCTTACCCGACATTGTCCTTCTTGTGCAACAGAATTGTGGACTTCTTGTATAGCCTTAAGAGAAAGCAGATACAGGTTACTACATCCTGAAGTGCTGATAGCTGTCAGCAGTTTGTCTAGTTTATATACCTTATTATTTGCCAAATGCTTAGCTCTCTCTTCAGGAGACAGATCAGCTGTTTCCTCAAGAAACTTCTTCAGGGCAGACCCCTCATCTGCACAAAGTGATCAAAGATTTTACTCAGTATAGGTAGAGCATCAGTTACAGTTCAGATGCAGCCCACAGTAATCAATGCTTATTGCACTAACTAGGAGTCATTGGATTCAGCCTAGAACCATCTCCAGCATAAGAATATTATAACTACCACTTGAAGCTATTTATCCAGAAGCTATTCACAACAATCTACACAAACAGCCAGCGTTCAAGTACTTCAGGGTACTCTGGATGCTTGTCTTAAAGCTTTCAAATCCCATTCCCACCCAACCCCCTTGCAGATTTGGCAGAGGTGTTCAGTCCTGTTTTAAAGAAAAAAAAAAAAAAAATCAAGGAAGTTGTGATACTTGAGTGTGAGGACGCTTAAGTATCAACTAACAGAATATGGGTAGATGAAATTAAGCTGTCTCCCTGCCTTCAAATGAACACAGCACTTGTCATCCCAGGCTTACTTTGGCTTTCCAGAACATAAATTAGTAGTGCAGTACTAAGATGCACTGAGTTCTAGTCTTACATGCATCATTCATTTCACTCCTCAAGAGTGTGCCATTTCAGAAAATCCTCTCAAAAAAAAAGTAAAGCAAAGCTACTCTCATTTGCCTTTCATACACTTTTTCCTTTGTTTAAGAACGAGTACCACACCACTCAGAGTTCAAGTTCTCTTGGAATAATGAAAATAAGTTCTATTTCACAGATCTCTAGTCTTTGAGCAGTAAAGCATTTCCTGGATTCAGTGACAACCCTTTTTTGACAAGAACTTGTAATCCCATTTCTTAGAAGTTTCTAGCCACCAGTTGCCTAAGTCAGTTTTATATCCTTTTCTATAAGAAGAGAACCACCAAAACTATTACCTTTGCAGGAAAAATCTGCTTACAGACCCTTATCATCCTATGCTGCTTTCCCAGCAAAAAGAAAACACGTTTTAGACTGATTTACAGGCTACCCTGAGCAAGTCTGTTTACATTAGACATTGTCATAAAGAACTCTCTCTTCAGTTGGTATCATCACCATCAGTGTCAATAGCTACTTCTGAACATAATACTTCCTAATTACAAACAGACTTTGGCCAGTCCTACACTTGCATCGCTCACTAGGGGGCTATCTCTCCAGCTACCCAGACAGGCAAGTACATTCACTTCTGCAATTCAGGCAGTAGGTGAGACCACATGCCCCTCTCCAGGAGCTAAAAGACTCACTTACCAACCGAAGCAGTACAGCATGCCTTAACTTGGCTTGCATGAAAGCCCCAGGTATCTCCTATAGCCCATACCCACTCAATCTTCCTCTGTCATTAAAAAAAAATAACGGAAATTCAAGCACTTCAGAACATTCATACTCACCAAGCTTCAGTTTGTCTTTATTATTAGCAACTGCATGTATCAGACCAATTGTCCCACAGGAGTTGCTGACTGTCTGCTTCAGGAAATACACCTTGGAACTGATTTCTTGGTCCTTTATTTTTTCAGTCTGTTGTTTCCTGAAGTTCTCATGCTGTAAACGTGTAACTGTTTTAGGCATTTCACCACAGTGATATCTTTTTATTGTGTAAACTACTAGACAAATGAGTCGTGCAGGAGAATCAATACCAGGACTGGACAAAGCATTACCCAGAAAGTCATCTTTGTGGCGTAGGTCTGGTAAAGCATCACGTGTCTATACTGGATGCAGGCCAAGTCTTAATGGACTACCTGCATGACTCAGTTGTATCTAAAGGCACTGTTCCTAGCCTCTCCATCTGTTCTGTACACTGGAAATAAGCTTGGGGTGGGAAATCATATAATGGATAGGTTCTTTTATATCCTCTATTGTTTTGGTCCATTTAATGAGACTACGACTCAGCAGGTCTCTGCAATAGCCTGCCTTTGTACCTTTAGGTTATGTCTCTTCAGGAACCCCTCCCTATCAGGACAACGTACAGGCAAGCGTAAAACCCATCACTACCCAAAGGCTGTAATCCTTCCTTTAAAGGACCTGTTAAATATACTTTATTTCAAAGCCCATCTCCTCATCTACTTCCTTAGCATCAGTTGGACTAAATGTAATAATCACACAGAAGTAATTTAGGCCTCTCCAGGCGCAATGATTCAGCACGGTAATCGCCATTCCTCACACTCGAGACTGCCAACGTTTTTCCCTCGGCCTGATAAAGCGAAGCGTAAGAGATGCGTGAGACTAAAAGGCCTTGTTTCATTGCTCAGCACATTTTAGCTCAGGCTATTTGGAGGCTGGGGTCGAAGACCCAGCAGGTACAACCCACCACCCACCTACAGCCCTGGCACAAGCCAAACCTACCCCCCAACCATCTGGTGCTTGCAGGGATGACACAGGCGCACTCCTGACAGCAGCCAGCGCATACAGGCGTTGCTGCTGACAACAGCCTGCTTTGTACCCCAGGGGCATTTGGGCCAGGCGTGGCCTAGCCGGGCCTACCCGGGGTGACAGCAGGATCCCGGTACGGCACCAGCTGTCACACAGCACCGGGGGCAGCCACCGGCCCGGCGCCCGAACCCAGCCCATCCAGCTGTCGCCGCCGGGGCTGCAGCCCCGAGGGCCGGCGAAGGCAAGCAGCCCCCGGAGGGACGCAACAG